TCAGCTGTGAAAACACAGCAGTAGCAGCAGCGGGGCTGGCCCCGCGCAGTCAGGTCAGCTGGTGGCTGCAGTGCAGGGGCCCCCGGCAGAGACTGAGGGTGAGCTGGGAGCGCACCCCAGCTCTGTCTGTGCCCCTCGGCACCTTGGTAGCAGCAGGGTCAGCCCTGCTCCCAGGACCCAGCACAGCGGGTTACCACAGCCGGGGCTGAGCCGGCCCAGGGAAGGTGGCCAGGGATGGGGCGGGGATGGGAGGGGGCCCAAGTCAGCAAGCCAGTGCCTCCCTCAGGGAGGAGAAGGACGGGCCTTGTCCCGCGTCAGGTCTGGGTCCCCCACCTGCGGCCACTTGCTGGCTGTTTGGCCCATGAGGAACCCTTCATCCCCTCAAGCAGAAGAGGGACCGACCCCAGCTGGCTGCATGAGGTCCCTCCCCGCACAGGACCACACAGCCGACCAGGAATGAGCGTCAGGGAGAAGGATGGCGTGTCCCCTCCCAGCCCTGCAACAGAGCCGTCCTCTCAGGGGAGGGGATTCATGTGGTGGGGCAGGGGCAGCTGTTTATTCCAAGGCATCGCAGCACCATCAGCCCTGCTGTGAGCTGGGGGGAAGAGCACAGCACTCGGGGCCCTGAGCTTCGGATGCCAGTCCTGGTGCTGGATGGGTGGTGGTGGATGGATGGCTGTGGATGGACGGATAGTGCATGGATGGATGGATGGATGGATGGACAGACAGGTGGATGGTGGATGGGTAGATGGGTGGACGGATGGATGGGTGGGTGGGTGGATGGATGGATGGATGGACAGACAGGTGGATGGTGGATGGGTAGATGGGTGGACGGATGGATGGGTGGATGGTAGATGGATGGGTGGGTGGGTGGGTGGATGGATGGATGGACGTGGATGGACGGATAGTGCATAGATAGATGGATGGATGGATGGACAGACAGGTGGATGGTGGATGGGTAGATGGGTGGACGGATGGATGGGTGGGTGGGTGGATGGAT